ATGGAGTATTACTCTGCACTAAAAAATGACAAAATCATGGCATTTTCAGGGAAATGGATGGCATTTGAGCAGATTATGCTAAGTGAAGCTAGCCAATCCCTAAAAAACAAATGCCAAATGTCATCTTTGATATAAGGAGAGCAACTAAGAACAGAATAGGGAGGAAGAGCATGAGAAGAAGATCACCACTAAACAGGGACGAGAGGGGGGAGGGAAAGAGAGAGAGAAGGGAAATTGCATGGTAAAGGAAGGAGACCTCATTGTTATACAAAATTACATATAAGAGGAAGTGAGGGGAAAAGGGGAAAAAAATAAGAGAGAGAAATGAATTACAGTAAATGGGGTAGGGAGAGAAGATGGGAGGGGAGGGGAGGGGAGGGGAGGGAAGGGAAGGGGAGGGGGGTTAGTAGAGGATAGGAAAGGCAGCAGAATACAACATACACTAGTAAGGCAGTAGGTAAAAAAGTGGATGTGTAACCGATGTGAATCTGCAATATGTATATGGGGTAAAAATGGGAGTTCATAATCCGCTTGAATCAAATGTATGAAATATGATATGTCAAGAGCTTTGTAAAGTTTTGAACAACTAATAATAAAAATAAATAAATAAAACAATGTTTAAAATTTAAAAAAAAGGAAGTTGGGGCCTAATCCCTCATGATGAAGATTAGGGCCTACTTTTTCTTCTGTTAGATGCAGTCTCTGGTTTAATTCCTAGATCTTTGATCCACTGAGTTGAGTATTGTGCATGGTGAGAGATGGGGATTTAATTTCATTTTGTTGCATATGGAATTCCAGTTTTCCCAGCACCATTTGTTAAAGGTGCTATCGTCTCTCCAGTGCATGTTTTTGGCACCTTTGTCTAATATCAGATAATTGTAATTTTGTGGTTAGTGTCTGTGTCCTCTATTCTATACCATTGATCTACCAGTCTGTTTTGGTGCTAATACCATGCTGTTTTTGTTACTATTTCTCTGTGGTATACTTTAAGATCTGGTATGTGATGCCACCTGCTTCACTCTTCCTGCTCTGGATTGCTTCAGTTATTCTGGGTCTCTTATTTTTTCCAGATGAATTTCATGATTGATTTTTCTATTTCTATGAGGAATGTCATTGGGATTTTGACAGGAATTGCACTATATCTGTATAGTGCTTTTGATAGTAAGGTCATTTTGATAACATTAATTCTGCCTACCCAAGAGCAAGTTAGATCTTTCCATCTTCTAAGGTCTTCTTTGATTTCTTTCTTTAGAGTTCTGTGGTTTTCATTGTATAGATCTTTCACCTCTTTTGTTAAGTTGATTCCCAAGTATCTTTTTTTTTTTGAGGTTATTGTGAATGGGGTAGTTTTCCTCATTTCCTTCTCAGAGGATTTTTCACTGATATGCAGAAATGCCTTTGATTTATGGATGCTGATTTTATATCCTGCAACTTTGCTGAATTCATTTACTAGTTCTAGTAGTTTTCTGGTGGAGCTTTTTGGGTCTTCTAGGTATAGAATCAAATCATCAGCAAATAGTGCTAATTTAAGTTCTTCTTTTCCTATACATACCCCTTAAATTTCTTTTATCTAACTGCTCTGGCCAGTGTTTCAAGAACTATGTTGAATAGAAGTGGTGAAAGAGGACATCCCTGTCTTGTACCAGTTTTTAGAGGGAATGCTTTTAATTTTCCTCCATTTAGAATGATGTTGGTCTGAGGCTTAGAGTAGATAGCCTTTATGATGTTGGGATATGTTCATGTTATCCTTAGTTTTTCTAGTGTTTTGAACATGAAATGATACTATATTTTGTCAAATGCTTTTCCTGCATCTATTGAGATGATCATATGATTCTTATCTTAAGTCTACTGATGTGAGGAATTACATTTATTGATTTCCATATGTTGAACCAACCTTGCATCCCTGAGATGAATCCCACTTGATCATGGTGCACAATCTTTTTGATATGTTTTTGTATTCTCTTTGCCAGAATTTTGCTGAGAATTTTTGTTCATTAGAGATATTGGTCTGAAGTTTTCTTTCTTTGAAGTGTCTTGTCTGGTTTTGGAATCAGGGTGATATTGGCCTCTTAGAGTTTGGAAGTGCTCCCTCTTTTTATATTTCCTGAAATAAATTGTTATTTATTAGTATTAATTTTTCTTTAAAGATCTTGTAGAACTCAGCTGTGTATCTTTCTGTTGCTGGGTTTTTCTTGGTTATTAATCTTTTGATGGCTTTGTCTATTTCCTTACTTGTTATTGGTCTGTTTAAGTTGTGTATATCTTCCTGACTCAATCTGGGCAGATCATATTACTTAAGAAATTTGTTGGTGCCTTCAATGTCTTCTATTTTATTGGAGTATAAGGTTTTAAAATAATTTCTAATTTTCCTCTGTATTTCTCTTTGTGTCTGTTATGATATTGCCATTTTCATCACATATGCTGGTAATTTGAGTTCTCTCTCCCCTACTCTTCATTAGTGTGGCTAAGGATCTGTCAATTTTATTTATTTTTTCAAAGAACCAACATTTTGTTTTGTCAATTTTTTCAATTGTTTCTTTTGTTTTGATTTTATTGATTTCAGCTCTAATTTTAATTATTTGGGCCTTGTACTGCTTTTGCTGCTGTTTTGTTCTTCTTTTTCTAGGGCTTTGAGATGTAGTGTGAGATCATTTATTTGTTGACTTTTTCTTCTTTTAAGGAATGAACTCCATGCAATGAATTTTCCTCTTAGTACTGCTTGTATAGTGTCCCAGAGATTTTGATATGTTGTGTCTGTGTTCTCATTTACCTCTAAGAATTTTTTAATCTCCTTCTTGATGTTTTCTGTAACCATTTGTTCATTTAGTAGCATATTGTTCAGTCTCCATGTAATGCAGAAATTTTTATTTTTTATTTTGTTGTTGATTTCCAGTTTCATTCCATTATGATCTAAAAAATGCATGGTAGTATCTCTACTTTTTGTTTTTGCTAAGAGTTGCTTTGTGGCATAGTATATGGTCTATTTTAGAGAAGGATCCATGTGCTGCTGAGAAGAAAGTGATGCAGGTTGAAACATTCTATATATGTCAGTTAAGTCTAAGTTATTGATTGTATTATTGAGTCCTATAGTTTCTTATTCAACTTTTGTTTTGAAGATCTCCAGTGGTGAGAAAGGTTTGTTAAAGTTCCCCAAGATTATTGTGTTGTGGTCAATTTGACTCTTGAACTTGAGTAGAATTTGTTGGATGAACATAGCTGTACCATTGTTTGGGGCATATATATTTATGATTGTTCTGTCTTGTTGGTGTATGGTTCCCTTGAGCAGTATGTAGTGTCCATATTTATCCCTTTTGATTATTATTGGCTTTCAGACTACTTTATTTGATACGAGGATAGAAACCCCTGCTTGTTTATGCAGTTTATGGTTTTTTTTTTTTTTTTATCCAATCTGCTAATCTATATCTTTTGATTGGTGAGTTTAGGCCATTAACATTCAGGGTTATTATTGAGACATGATTTGTATTCCCAGCCATTTTTTGTTTACTTTTGGTATTTAATGTGACTTGGTTTCTCCTCTGATTAGATTTTTATTTAGTGTAAACCCTCCCTCTGCTGATTTTTTATCATTGTTTCCCATTTCCTCTTTGAGGAATATTTTGCTGAGAATGTTCTGTAGTGTAGGCTTTCTAGTTGTAAATTCTTTTAACTTTGGTTTATCATAGAAAGTTTTTATTTCATCATCAAAACAAAAGCTTAATTTTGCTGGAAATAAGATTCTTGGTTGGCATCCTTTTTTTTTTCAGATATTGGTATATGTTGTTTCAGGATATTCGGGCTTTGAAGGTCTGGGTTGAAAAATCTGCTGAGACCCAAATTGGTCTCCCCTTATATGTGATCTGATTCCTCTCTCCTATGGCTTTTAAGAATCTATCCTTATTCTGTATGCTAGGCATTTTCATTATAATGTGCTTTGGTGTAGATCTGTTGTAATTTTGTACATTTGGTGTCCTGTAGGCCTCTTGTATTTGGTTTTACAATCCAATCTTCATGCTTGAGAAATTTTCTGATATTATCTCATTAAAAAGATTGTGCATTTTTTGGTTTGAAACTCTGTGCCTTCCTCTATCCCAATAACTCTTAGATTTGGTCTTTTGATGCTGTCCCATAATTCTTGGATGTTCTGATCATGGTTTCTTACTATCTTCACTGTGTGATCACTTTATTTTCCAGATTGTATATTTTGTCTTCATTATCTGATGTTCCTTCTTCCAAGTGATCTAGTCTGGTGGTGATTCTTTCTATTGAGTTTTTTATTGGATTTATTGTTTCCTTCATTTCAAAGATTTCTGACTTTTTTTCCCATCTTCCATCTAAGCATATGCACTGCAGTGTCATTGGCTGCAAAACACTAATAAAATCCTGGATTGAGGAGATCATCGTGAGCTATATTTATAGAATTGGATGACATCTATATATAAATAATTATTCATAAAATGATTAGAAATATTAATTAGGTGATGATGAAATATAGAAGTTAGAGGTGTAAATTAGATTAGAAGTTCATTTTAAACTACAAGAAAGTAAATAAGCATTATATAATTTAAGAAAAACTGACAGTGATAGGAATGAAGCAATTCAAAGGAAAAATATAGAAGAAAGATAACCAAATGGTGGTATTGCACTATTTGAAAAAATAAGCATTGAGCTTAGAAACACATGGATATTGGAAAACTCCGTGCCTCAGCCTCATACTTTCTATGCAATTGAGATTGTGTAGTAAGTGCCCAAAGCATGCTATTAACTTGCAATTCACCATAGCATATTTTTTAAAAAGTCTATCTTGACAGTACACTCAATTATGTCTAGAATACGCACAGAAAAGTTTTGATAAAAATGTACTTTATATAAGTAAAGCAGGAGTTGAGAAGAACTTTGAGAGTAGCTTTCCTAATACATTCATGCTTTTCATCACGTGGCTCACACTTCCTAATCTCAGGACCCAGTCAACACTAACTGAATGTCTTTTTTTTCACACAGCCATGGACACAAGCAAGCAGACCCCTGATGAGCCTCTCCTCAGAAGCAAAAGGAGGCAAGATCTTCCAGAGATGCTCAGAGAAGTGGGACTGGAAGTTGAGTACTGGTTGATCAAGCTGAAGGAAGTCCTGGGTGTGACCTGTGCCCAGTCATTAAGTTATTTAAAAGAAAAAGACCTCCAGAAGCTGAAATATGAGGTAAAATATCCATGGGAGAAAAGGGCCCTGGAGAAGCTGCTTGACCTGTCCCACTCAAATAGTCTTGCAGAGTTACAGGAGTCACCAGTGGAGAGGAAAAAGGAGAAGCAGGCAGAACAAGCAGTGAAAGAGCTGAGGAACTTGCTGTCAGAAGGGAGACAGAGACAGGAAGAGGCAGTGAAGAGAAAGGAAGCAAAGCTGAGGCAAGCCATGGAGATCCCTGAAGAGAACAGGCTGAAGCCTCCAAAGCCCCTCAGGGAAGTCATGGAAATCATAAAGAAAGAATTCAGTCCCATGGAGCAGACGCCATCCCACAGGCCAAACCTCCCAGATAGAGATATGGTAAGATGGGCATCTGGAGGGCTGGCCCTGCAGGGAATATACAAAACCTGCCACCACATGGACCTGATACAGAGGAGAGAGGAGCTACTCAGTGTCCCCAAGGAGTTCTCACTCCTTGGCCCTCAGCAGGGCACATTGATGAAATCTGAAGAATTTACATCTTCTCAAGCAGAAGTCATGTTCACCCAGTCTATGGAGAATTTAGGCTTCAGTTTAACTACTTCAGCCAAGGGTGGAGGTTGGGGATTTAGTTTACAAACTGAACTGGATAAATGCAAACATTCAGAATCCAAGCAAACCCACCTAACAAATTCTGAGTGCTCTTATTTCTGCTCAACCAAGTTCAGATACACTCCCATGGCATCCTGCCACTTCCCCATTGATCAGCTCCAGTTGTCCCATGCTGCTCTTCAGGAATTGAAATGCCTTGAAGACCTTCTGGATCAGACTACAGACTCTCAGGAATCCCAGGTGCTGAAACAGTGGAGTGAAAGATTTTTCCACAGGTTTGGCTCTCATGCTAACCAAGGCCCTCTGCACCTGGGAGGAATCTACTGGTGGAAGGCTGTCTCAGAGGGGTTCCAAAATTATCACCTAGTTGATATAAAGCAGCAGGCAATAGAGGCCCTGGATTTTTACATAAGTGGTGGCTACCAAGGTTTTGGAATGAATGTTGCTGCAGGTATGAATGTGTCAGACTCACATTCAAAAGCAGCTATTCAGAACAAGACTTTTCAAAACCTCCAAACCAAATTCCAATTATCTGTGTCCAAGACAGGTGGACCACCAGAAGCAGATGACCTTGCTCAATGGAAAGCTGGCCTTGTTGCCAGCAATCAAACCTGGTGTGTCATTGACAGGGGATTCCAGCTGGTGCCTATTTGGGACATCATTCTCTTCAGCCACAGAAGTGATTTTAAGGATCCATGTAAGGTAGCTAAGTGTCTGAAAGACAACTACACTACTCTGACTGGCCTTGTTTCCCAGATCCAAGAGGCAGAGGAGATACTGAGTGTTAGGCAAGAGGTTAGAGTTTTCCTAGATACTGCAAAGTCCTGGGAAGTCTCTGATCCTGAAGAACAGCTTCAAAAGTTGATAAATTTTAAGCAAACACTGAGTCAAAAAACAGAAGGAAATGACACTTGGATTAACCTATGCCTCACAGATAAGGATCTGCAGACTTTTCTAGTCAATACCGTCAATTTTTGCAAAATGTCTACCAATTGTAAAACAAATTATATTAAAATTCAGTTGTGCAGCCTTCTAGATCCTCACATCTACAAAGTGGAAAATTTTCCCCAGAATCACTCCATTATGCACTGGATCAAACAGTCAGATTCAGAGCAAGAGCAAGTCCACATCTGCCAATTTTCTGAATTCATTAAAAACTTAACAAAAACACACAAAGAATTATTGGAAGTGAATGTCCAAGAAAAAGTAGAAGAAGCTCAAAGAAAGGCCACATATGAGGTCTGCTTGGCTCTCAACAGCTTCTTGAGCCACTTGCAAGCAACAGAGCAGCCAGATACACAGCTCTTGCTACTTTCCATTGCAGCTGGTGCAGGATATCAGGTGGGAAGCAATATTTTTAAGCCTCTCCTGGGGCCTGGTGAGTTAAACTTCCTACTGGATGAAATACAAACTGCCTTTAATGAATACCAGCAGCTCAAAAGTATTTCCAGCTATAGGGCCCATGCATTCCTGTTGCTCACAGGTCTGACAGCCACAGCTGAATTAAGAGCTCTATCTATAGAAGAGAAGACAAAACGCATGGAATTTATAATAAAACACATGGGACAATTATTTTCTAAAGAAGTTGTACATGTCCTCACTAAATTTGAAGAAGATCATGATTGGGAAAACATAGAAAGAAACTTGAGATTACTCATTGATGGAGATTATGAAGCCACTATCTCTTCTTTGAAAAGGGATGACGTTGAAAGAGAGCTACTAAATCTTTTCCATGAAAAGAAACGGCCCTGTGAACCAGATATTAATGAAAATAACACAAATGAAGTAATAGAAAATGAAGCCTTCCTAGACTTACTCCAGCGTCTAGGCCTACAACATTACTACCCTAAAAAAATGAGTAAAGCTAAATTTCATCTGATCTACAAGACTTCTCTTTACAACACCCAGCCCAATTCTGAAAAGGAACTTCCCTTTTATTTCCTTCAGAAGCTAATGTTGCTGGATTATGGACTGAGATACCTTGTCTTTAAAGACTATGGAAATATAGAATCTAAGGTTTCTCCAAGTGCCTCCAATCAGGAATATGAGGGTTTTGATCCATATGAAGACTTTGTTGAAGACAGTGATACTCTCACTGATCCTTTGACTACTGAGTCAAGGCCCCACATTCACCCCATGGATATCCAGATGACCATTTTTCACTGTGCAGATGATTTTGCCAGACAATATATTTTGACCAAACTTTCTACTTGTCAATTTGCCCTGCCTCTCCTGGTGCCAAATCCTTGCACTTCTCAAATCGAATTCTCTCTCTGGTCTCTTAGAAAAGTTAGGAGAAGTTGGCAGCAAGAAAAGAAATCACCACATGGAAAGAACAGTCATAAGTGTCAGCAGATGTGTTGTGTCTCCACCCCCATTGTGTCCTTCATTAGAGTGGGCAATGGCCTGTCTGCTTCCAAATCTCAGATCATGAACTGTCTTCTCAGTGAACGTAAACATAATGTCTTTTTCCACCGACACTGCAGAGAAAGCAGCAAGGACTGCCTCTTGATGGGAGGTGTGGTAGAAATCTGCTGGTTTTGGCCTGGAGGGGAAGTGGAGGACAGGTTTGACAACTGTGTGACCTTCATGAATCTTCATGGAGATGCAAAGGAACATAAAAGGCAGCTCACTTTCCTGCAGGAGGTCTCTTCTCTCATTGTGGTCCTCATGTCAGCTTCTGATGACAACAAACAAAACCAAAAAATTGTCCGTGACCTATGTCAGTCATCAAGATCATTGATCTGCTTGCTAGATGACAAAGAAAAATCCAAACCCAGTAGTTCTGGTAGAAGAGTGAAAATTGGCCTGAGGAATAGAAATGAGGCAGAATTGACAGAGGAGCTCACAACTACCATCAGACGTTTGCTAGAGCTCTCTGACACAGCTCTCAGCCTAGAGGACTGTTCTCAAATTGCTCGCCAGCAAGGATTTCTTATTGATGAAGACCAGAGAGATTGTAAGGAGGGCAAAGAAAAGGCACAGATTATAATGGCTCTTTTAAGAGGAACAGAGTTATCTAAGGTGAAGGAAACCTTCCTACCGCTTCAGGGACAACTGTGGCAACTTTGGTGTAGGAAGGACAAAGAACTTTATCATCTGAGAGAGAAGGGAAATCGAAGCATTGAACAACACAAGAGTGAGCTTGAGTCAGATAAACAAATAATTCGGCAAAAACAGGTGCAAAGAGCTTTTCCTCTCAATGATGTAATGTTCTCTGTGCTTCAAATTCTCTACCGCTATTCAGAAACTCACACCACACTCTACTTCTTGCAATGGATGAGTGTGTTTTTAGATAGGTTGACTGAAGAGCATTTGGAGAACCTACATGAAAAACTAATTCATTTGTGGTCAATTGTGAAAACAGAGAAGCAAAGCTCCCAAAGCAGCCACTCTTTGGAGCTCTGCCAAAAGAAGATTAGTGATTATACCTTAGGAATTGAGCAGTTTCTCAGAGAGGTTGGCCAGATCTATGAAGCTCTGGAAGAAACTTCCTCCACAAATGATATAGTTTTTCTCTTCCTTCCCCAAATTGCTGCAGACCTGATGATAGCTGGTGTCCCCATAGAGCTGATGGATGGAGATGCTTCCTATGTGCCCTTAAAATGGATGGCAGCTGTTTTTGACAAGCTCTCTGAGAAACTTGGAGACAAACGTCTCTTTGTCCTCTCTGTGCTTGGCCTGCAGAGCTCTGGGAAGTCTACCCTACTGAATGCTCTTTTTGGGCTGCAGTTCAGTGTAAGTGCAGGCAGGTGTACTAAGGGGGCCTACATGCAGCTCCTAAAGGTAGACAAGACATCCACAGAGGAACTTGGCTTTGACTTTGTGCTAGTTGTAGACACAGAAGGACTTCGGGCCCCAGAACTCAGCAACAAATCCCAGAACTGGGACAACGAGTTAGCCACCTTTGTCATTGGGCTTGCAAACTTGACTCTGATCAATATATTTGGGGAGAATCCATCAGAAATGCAGGATATCCTACAGATAGTAGTCCAAGCCTTTCTGAGGATGAAACAAGTGAAAATTTCCCCCAGGTGCATATTCATCCATCAGAATGTAGGAGAAGTTACAGCTAAAGACCAAACTACAGAAGGACGAAGGCGGTTAGAGCAGAGGCTAGATGAAATGGCAGTACTGGCTGCTAAACAAGAAGAGTGCTCAGATGTCACTCACTTCAGTGATGTCATCAAGTTTGATGTCAATACTCACGTGTACTACTTTGCTCACCTCTGGGATGGCAATCCCCCCATGGCCCCTCCCAATCCTCGCTATAGCCACAATGTCCAGGAACTGAAAAGTACAATTCTTTTAACTGCCAAACAGGAATCCAGGGGAAGCATCATGAAGATATCAGATGTGAAATTCAGAGTTCAAGATTTGTGGAGAGCCCTGGTAAGTGAGAACTTCATTTTCAGTTTCAGAAACACCCGAGAGGTCATGGCCATGAGCAAACTGGAAACCATGTATAACCACTGGACCTGGGAGCTCAGGAGCCATATGTTGGACTTGCAGAACCAGCTTCACAATCAGATTCAAAATAGAAAAATTCAGACACTCACATCAAGCATAATTGAGTGTCCAGTTACAGAGAAATATGAAACCATCAAGCAAGTACTTGAAAAATATTTTACTGAAGACCCAGAGAGAGAGATACTTGTCCAATGGAAAGCCTATTTTGAAAATAAGCTACTAATCCTTAAAGAGTCACTTATTTCAGACACCAAGAGAAAAGCCCATGAACTTATTCATCTCAAACAAAATCAAGAACAACTAGAACAGAAAAAGACTGTATATGAAAATGAATTATTGAAGAAGAGCCAAAACTTGGCTTTAAGAGTAAAAGGTAAAAAGTTGAGTGATGAAGAGTTATATGAGAAATTCAGTCAACTTTGGGGAAAATGGGTTTGTGAAGTGTCCTCAAATCTCCCTCAAGCCACAGAGCCTAAAATTGATGTGGATGCTGAACACATCCTTTTGGAACATTTCAGAAAAGAGAAAAACATAGTAGAAAAACTAAAAAGAAATACTGGAAAGAATTTTCAGCTAGATTTTGGAAAACATGTCAAGATGTGTAAGGAATATGTATTTTTCACAAAGAGTTTAGAGGCCTGTGATAAAGTGTTCATTGATATGACTACTGATCGTATTTTTTCAAGATTTGATGAATGTATTGATAGTATTATGAATCAACAACATGATTATGATCAAAATGACTTCCATCAAATCCTGAGAATAATAGAAGAGGAAGTGAAATCTGAACACACCAAGAATAGATATATATTTACGAGCGAATACAAAATTGAATTATCTTCATATTTATTTAAAAAAGCAACAGACTATTTTAAGGAAATGCATAGAGCATTTAGAAGAGCAAATGATCCTGTAAAATATCTAGAACAGAAGAAAGATGATTTTTTCATGAGTTTCAAGATCTCCTGCCAAGGTGCAACCTCCATCACATGTTTTGTTGATTTTCTGTGGCAAAAGCTCACTCCTGCTGTCTCTGCTACCATCCAGGGGAAAATGGTCCCTAGAATAGCTGGGGAGATAAGAGCCTCCTGCCCTGCATTCAATGGAAACAGATCTAACCTGGAGAAACACATTCTCATCTCTCTAGCAGAAGAAGAAAATTTTGAAAATTATTGGCAATACATTTACAATCCAAAATCATTTTGTAGGAGTTACATTGAGAACTATACCAAAAAGTACTGTTCAGACAACAGAGATAAAAAAATAAAGACTTTATTCAAAACAAGTCTTGATGACATCAAGAATACTATCCTCTCTGCCATTCATGAATCCACAGCAGTAGCTAAAGACAGAAGCAGCACTGCATCTGGGTGGCTAGATTTGTTCTGTGATCACTTGGGGAACAACTTGATTTTCCCACGAAGAGACTTGGTAAACATTGAACACCAAGAGATAAAAGATATGGATTTTCTCAAAGAAGCCATGAGTGCAGGTTTGGATCCTGCAATGAAGAAGGTGGAACAGAACTTGTCAAGTATGCCTATAGAAGAAATGGTTCCTGAAATTGAGAAAATCCTCTCTGAACATCTCTGTGGATGTTGGAAACAGTGTCCCTTCTGTAAAGCAATTTGTACAAACACAATTCCTGAACATGATGGAGACCACAGTGTTCCATTTCATCGTCCTCGGGCTGTCTGTGGAGGCAAGTGGTATAGAACAGACCACTTTGACATTGATTGTTGTACTAGTTTAGTAGCAAGTTATGATTTGCTTGTTTTGAGAGATGATAGGCAAATCCCATTTAAGAACTATCGGGAGGCAGGAGGGGATTATGCCACTTGGAGCATCACCCCAGATTCATCCACCCAGCCATACTGGAAATGGTTTATCTCTCACTTCAGAACAAAATTGGAAGAAAAATATCAGCTAAAATTTATAGATAAAGGTCAAATCCCCTATGAATGGAGCAAAATCACTAAGCAGGAAGTGCTTAATGACTTGAAAAAATAATCTTCAATGACCACATAAATATCTTAGCATCTGTACAAAGTCACAGTACCAAGCAACCTCAAAACATATCCTCCTTACAACTAGAGCTTTACATATTCCACTTTGGAAATGAAATGTTTACAAAGCGATTAAATATCAATTCAAGAATTTAAGAGTTCCTGGAAAAGTACTTGATATCTCTCTGCCTCAATTCCATTTGGATTAGAAAGAAATTACTAAAATAGGAGCTTATGACAAAATCCAAATATCTAGTTCCTACTTTGAAATATTGCTCTACATTTTTTAAAATATGTAATACCCTCAGAAAAAATCATCTTCACATGGAAAATTTTAAGTCATTTTATGATACTACAAATTTCTCTACAGTAACTGCATAGCTGTTGAACCAATATACAAGTCTTGACAAGCAACTACATATAAACTTTCTCCATGAATTTTTTCACTCATTCAATCCATGAAGAAAATTTACTCACCCTTAAACACAAAAGCATTCATGGAAATTTCATGATTCCCATGTATAGTATTTTACAGGGATATTTTATTCTAGCAGAGAACAAACCAGAGACTTGACAAAGATAAAGTCTTCATCAAGTCAGGAAACATTATCAGGCAAACATAGGAAATAGAAGTTAAATAACTGCTTCATTTAATCAACATTCTCTTCTTTCTGGTTTCTTGGAACTTCTTTGTCATGCTACAAAAAGTTGAGTTATTCACAAAGTTTAGATCTTCAAAGCTGGTGTTATCTGCCTGAGATTACCTCCTGAAACAAGTCTAATGCTAACCATGTAAATGGGACCCTATCCATCAAATCTGTGGACAAGGGCAAAATAGATAAAGCCATTAATGATTATAAACACCATCCCCTAAAGAAAAAAAAATGAAAAAATATCTACTTTTTATAAAAATTTCATAATTATTAATTAATCTTAATTGGGTTCTCACTTTTTAATAAAAATTTATATTTCTTGTATAAATATATATTTCATGTAAAAAATGCAGAGGAGTGCTTATCTCCAAACAGACATATTTTTGCTTCCTTATACTTTTTGGGTGCTAGGGGAATCACCCTTCTACAAACCTATACCTTATGCTCAGTTCTCAAAGCTGATGATCTGAAAGAATGCTGATGCAAGAAGAAAATGTCCTCATTTTAGACATAAAGATACCCTTTGGTTTCCATTTACTGATGCAGGCTCTACCTATCCATGGACAGTGAAAAGACACAACCAAAGCCACAGTAGTTAAACAATGTAGATCTTCAGAAATGGGAGATGCTGACTCCGTCATCTTTGTCCACCATAGGACTAAAATATATTATCAGTTTCAGATCTACCAACTAGAATCTCCATAAGTTTTCTGTTTGTTTTTGCTGTAGTACTGTGGATTAAACCCTGGCATTACACATATCAGGAAGCACATTATTACTCAACTACAGCTTTTTATTTTTTTAAATTTCAGAGATGGAGTTTCATTAAGATGCAACCTGTGAGCCTCCTGCCTCAGGCTCTCAGGTTGCTGGGATTAAAGGTGTCAGAAGTCTTGAAAAGAAATTGTGAAGGATATAGGTGTTCTTGAACAGAATGATTTTTTTTTAAATAGTCTTGGTGAGAGTTGGGAGGATCTCTTAATGATATCAACCTGATATAGTATTGGGATCAGAAGCTCTGCACAACATGGTGCCTGTCACACTCATCACTGCAAGCTTTGAAAAGGCTTAATGTTCAATTGACATTAGCTGAATGCATTTATATTGAATGAATCAATATAGCCTTCAACTAATAAGTCTCATATATTACTTTTGATTTTAAAGCCAAAAATATTTTGCAAAAGTAAAAAGGCCTCTAATAAATTCCTCAGGTATGTTAACAGTGAGATTCTTACATGAGATCCCAAGGCCAAACTAGAGAGATGACAAAAATATTGGGAAGAGGTAAATTAGAATAAAAGAAGATGGCTATGTAGAGATGGTGTTTTCTGTGATACAATTAGGGAAAATAATGAAGTTGGTGCCAGAAATGGGAGAGATAATAGTGTTAGTATTTTGAGTCTCATTAGGGAAGAGACCTCAGGAACAGTGGAGCAGGGGAGAAGAGTCAGTGGGGATGAGAACATCAAGATGTAGAGCACTGGGTCTTATTGAAGGTCACAAAATTAGAGTTGAAAATAGGTGCAAGGTTAGTAGGGGTAGGGTTCTCATGGGTAGCAGAATGAGCCTCAGTCGCTGAGGTGAGGAGCAGAGAAAAAGGAATAGGGGGTCACCACATGAGCAGATTTCAGATGTTCCAGTCATTAAGGCAAAGGTGCCAAGTAGCATGGTAAAGGAATCACAAGGCCAATAGAAATGGAGCAAGGATGGTAATGGACCTAGGAGAGTATGGAAATTCATGACAGGATGTAAGTTATTCACTTATATGTGGACTCCACAAATGAGAACTCATAGAAATAGAGAGTAGAATGCAGGTTACCAGAGACTGAGGACAGGGTTGGGGAGAATGGGAAAGTTTGGTCAAAAGGGAAAGTTTCAGTTAAAGAAGAAGAAAAATTCTGCTGATCTATAAAAACAGGTGACTAGTAATTATGCTAATTATTATCATCATTATTATTGCTATCTTACTGAAATGTGGTTGTGTTTATAGTCTGCTCACTTATAAGCAGCAAGTCCAAGCTTTCAATTTTAATCCAAGTATGAGTTGCATAAGTGTTTGTAGTGCTCTTTTCTCAGTCTGTCTTTTATTTTCTCTAAATGTAAACTTAAAATAAAGTAGAATTAAAATAATCATGCTTAATGAATTATACAATACAAAATTGCAAACAGTGAATTTTAAGTGTCATAACCCCCCAAAAATACATAAGTACATAAAGTTATGGATATGTTAATTTGCCTAATTTGCTTATTCCTCAATCTATGCATGTATAAAAGCATCAAATTGTACCCCATATTATGTACATTTATTATCTGTCAATAAAAATTAAAAATAAACTGAATAAAAAATGATTTACATAAAATATGATGGAAAACTGCTTCAAGATTTTTTCAGGAGATCTCTTTTTCTTAGAGACAGATAATATGAACCCAATAACATCTACAGAATGTGGTATGTCTAAAAATTGACCCGTTTAAATTTGGAGGTGCTTTCATTGGAACACTGCAGATAGACTTGTGAAATGCATAATTGTCATTTTATTCTTACCTTTATTCTTACATTGAGAGAATGGTTATTCTCTCAATTCCAACTTTCAATAAATTCTAAACAAGCTATTCAAACCTTTATTATTGGTGTATATGAGTTTAGAGGGCAATAAAGAGTATTAAATTACATTATATTGTTTTGTATTATACTATATCATATGTTTGTGATGAAAACCAATAGTGCTATCATTGTAGTATTGGTATCTGTGTGAACGTGGACTTGTAATTTAGCCCCTGTGTCTTCAGGCATCCTAACACTGCAATGATAGGATTCTCATTAATAAATGAATGGCTACTTAAAAGGCATGGATGACAATGCTACACATGGAGTAAGTACACTGTAAGTGTCAGTTATTATGTCATGCTGTCTATCCCAGGTTTCCTTTTCCTTTGCTTTTGAATAAAATTTTACTAGAAGCACACCAATAGATAAAGAAGTCTCACTGGAAGTTCATTAACAATAGTATTCAACATGGCCTCCTTGGGAAGTCACACTTGATAATATAGTCTTTAAAATGTCTAATTAATACTTAATAACTCAAAATGCAGTTCAGAATATCAAAGTTCTTCAGTACTTTATTAATAGCTATATGTATTCCAAACACAAATTAACCAAAGGCAACCAAGTCAATTTTGTAATGTTTTTTGTCAGTGTGAAATAGATCTCAGGTTCCCCATGCCTTAGATAAATCTTAGGTTTCTCATTCCTGAGAAATAAATTTACATGCACACAATTTGTTTTAGAAGTTATTCTAGTAAAAAAATGAATAATGGAGAGAGGAAACAAGAAGAGGTGGGATTCAAGATGAAGAAGGGAATTAGTGGATTTAAGTCAAGTGTTGACTATTAGGGAATGCTAGCTTGCTACTGTAGTTAAGAGCAGGAACTTAGCATCAAGACTGCTTAGATGTGTATGTAAATAAAGACCCCATCACTTTGCTAGCTATCTGACCTGGGATAAGTCAGCATGTGTCTGCTTCATGTGCTTCTTCTATAAAATTCTGCTATCTCATAAAGGTGTGAAGATGACTTGGAAATAATACGTGTGCCTGGCTCTTGGTATATGTTCCTGTGTTAGCTGGTTGTAGTACCAGGGAACAACATCATGTTAATAGAAGTCATTGTGCCATTATTAATACTGCAATGAAGTGCAGTAAGGTCTCCACTCAAGGCTCAATTGCAACTTCCTGAAGATGCAGGTCCAACTTTCATATTTTGAACCAAGTAATGTTTATAAATATGCTTGTCTGACGGTATTCTGTATATTTTATTTTATCTAAATAGAATATTAAAAAATATAATAAAAATTATAAAGAAAAAAATGTATGAGGAACAGAAGGAAGAAAGGCTGACTAAGAGCATTATAAGGTTCTTTTGACAATAGCCAATTACCTCCACTGTCATTATTTTTAATGCAATGCAAGGGATTTACATAAATTGGGAAAAAATGTGAACCTGATCATGTTCTCCTAGAAACGACAGTCCTAATTGTTAAATATCTTTGGTTCTTCTCCTTTGAACCAAGAAAACTATCAGGTATATCTGTTACTTTACCCTGTAATTTCCATTATCTCCACTGTGGGGGAACATAAGTGCACCACTCAGATCCTTCTTCTAGGAAGTGTTTGCTGCCCACATGAGGGGAGTAAAGGAAGCAGCCACTCATCAGTTGTCACATTTGCCTCAATTGAAGAGAGCCTTTCCCCTGGGGTCAGGCTCTCCTGAGCAACTTGCATCTATGATTGAGTGAGACACCGAGGCCCTGCCACGTTGGCCTGACAGAGGATGCTCTGATGGGCTCCACTCACTTCAGAGTTTCTGCCTTGTCCTGGAAGCATCCTGAGGCCTGCACCACATTTCAATTTTTCCCACTGCCAAGTCCTATTACTCCCCCTTCTTTTGTAAGTGTTTACCACTAAGAAATATCTTTCATGCTGTTTCAACATCTGCTTCTGGAAAAACAAAACTGGCATCATTCAAGGCCTTGGTACAGATTGCTGAGTGCAGATGGATTTGAACAATGGGTTTGTGAATAAGAAAGAAACTGAAAAAAAGAAAATAAGGGCTACATAATATTCTGTTCCCAAAACCAGTATGAAGAGAGCAGCAGAGAGGATGAAGGCCTT